GTAAGTTTATAAACTTCTTTCTGCTCATTCCAAACTTCGCTGTTTATACCTCTAGAATTCTCCCTTGTTGTATGATGCCTGTTTTTAAATTTGGTGACTATGTTGTGCGGCTCAGAGTGTTGGTATAGAGTCTATACAGAAAATAGTGATGTTAAAAGTACTTGCAATTTCACTCCAGGCATATAGAAGACTGGTGGTATTCAATTTCATTCTTTTTGTTTTTCAGGGAGAAATGGATGCTCTTAAAACATGACGACTTTAAAAAATGCAAATGATTCTTTCAGGAAAAGAGTTGCAAAGCATCTCTTCAGTCATTATTCAGTGTTTATTTGTTTCCATCTAAACTCCAGAAATTATCCATGATGACTTGCTTTGCAAAGCTCATTTTCAAAACTTGCTGCAATTATGGAACAAATGGAAAGAAAGACTCAGTGGAATTAGGAAAAAGTAGCTTACCTTAGTAAGATTACTTAGTAGCAAAGTACTTTTTTCACAAAAATTAAACAACAGTATAGCTAATTCTTTCAAAAAAGCACTTTGGACAGGAACTATTATTTTGTATTCATTAAGGATACAAAGCCAAGGGTACCTCTGCTTTTTAATGTTAATTATTAAACATTCAGCAGAAAGATACAGAATCATAATAGATACTCCAACATTACAGTGAAAACGTGGCTAATATGGAAATACGTTTTGCATGATTGCACACATATCACTAATATCAAATTATTTACCATCTCAGGAAGGGTAGAGAATTTGAAACTCAAGTTTAAAAAAAAACTAATGTTAAAAAGTGTTTGTACATGTAAGTGGGAAAAAATAAAATAATATTAAGAGTAAAAAAAAGCCACTGTAAGGAAGCTATAATTTCATTAATGAGGGTATTTCATTCAATGATACAGATCTCAACCCAGCCATGCCTTCTCATCCTCTGTGACTTTTGTCCATGTCCTCCCGTAAATTCTCCAAATTGGTTCCACTCTTCATGCCTTCATCTTGTTCCCTTGACATTGTGTGGATACCAGTGGGGCTGTCCATCTGTCAATCATGCCATATAACTAATCTTTTTTTTTTCCCTGTCATGCATTTCTTTAATGACATCCTTTCCACTGATTCTTCCTTGGGATTGTGCTTCAGTATTCTTGGACTTTTAACCAAAAAGACTTTAAATAGTACCTAAAATATAAGGTATTCATTCAACTCTAAGGTCTGTAGAAACTTGAACCTGGATGCTCTTAAAACATGACAACCTTAAAAAATGCAAAGGAAAGAGTGGGCTGCTGTGATAAAAGTAATTTCTCATTATTTATTGGGTACAGACAATTTCTTAGTCTCCTAAAAATAGATTATACAAGAGAAAAATGCAAAGAAAAAGGCTTGAGATGAGAATAAGCATTTTAAAGTGCCTACTACATGCCAAACTATGCTAAGCGCCTTCTTCTTTTATTACATAGCTCCTTTCATCCTCAACAATAACTCTGCAGGGTAGGTAGGTGCTATTATCATTCCCATTTTACCTTTGAGGAAACTGAGGCATACACATGTTAAGTGACTTCCTCAGGGTCACACGGCAGGGTTGGAGGCAGGATATGAACTCTGCCAATCTTCCCAACTGGAGGCCCTATGCCCTATTCACTGCACCACCAGATAGGTAAGGATAGTAAGGGCAATATCGTAAGCTTCATCAAGAGATCGAGAAGTTCTTCTAGTTGAGAGGCAGTCAATATTTTATCACATTATCTTTTGTTTTTTCATCATCTTTACTTTCTCAGGTTTGTCACTATTAGAAAGTCAGTGTCACCATATGTGTGCAGCAGAGGGTTGATTCAGCTAAATTTCATAAAAGATCATTGCATTTTTGACTCCTTCAATTTTTACACAGGTTTCTGTCAATGTACCCTGGCTTTGGACAACAATTTTCAAATAATTGGCATATGAGATTTCTTCCCTAAGCAACATAATTCAAACATCAGACAATCTGCAGAATGAAGAACAACTAGAAAATTCATGACTTTCAGTTCTAATTACACTTTTCTTTTCCCCACACTGAATGAGCTATTTTGAATAAGGCCCTATTAGTAGGACTTATATAGTACTTAAGATTTGCAAAGTGCTTTATAAATATTATCTCATTTTATTCTCACAACTCTGTGAGGTGGGTGCTATTATAATCCCCGTGTTACAAATAAGGAAATTGAAGCTAAGGGAAGTTAAGTGATTTGCTGGGGTCACACAGATACTAAATATCTGAGACTAGATTTAAATTATAGGGTTTCTGACTCCAAGTCTAGGGCTCTTTCCACCTTTCCCCTTAGTTTATGTTATATTACAGACATTATCACTTTCAAGCAGTAGATGAGCTAGAGTAGAGTCATAAACCTTTAAAGCTACAATGTAAGATAAGAAAAAATGTAAACAGTTTCATTGACTCAGTCACTAACAGCTTATGTCAAGGCAAAAGCCTCTTTTTTTTTCAAAGAGAATTTTATATAATCTATAACCCATTGTATCCATACCCCCTCCCAAAAAAGATTCTGGAATCACATAGACCAGGTCCATTCCTGGGGCCTAACTCCCAAAAGGTCAGTTTCTCTCTTTGACTTGTTGCCCCAATCTGGAGTTTCTCCAAGAAAATATCCTAACATATTCAAAGTATATCTTATATCTAGGTTTCACCAAATGTGGTGAAAAGGAGTTCCCAAGCAGCTAAGTGACATAGTAGATAGATAGCCAAGAAGACTTTAGTTGAAATCTGGCCTCAGACACTTATTGGTGTGTGATCCTGGACAAGTCATGTATCCTGTCTGCCTTAGTTTCTTCAACCATAAAATGGAGATAATAATAACATCTATGGGCATGTAGGTTGCACAGAGGATAGAGTGTCAACACTGGAGTCAGGAAGACCTAAACTCAAATCTGGCCTCAGACACTTAGTAGCTATGTGACTCTGAGAAAGTCACTTAATCTTGTTTGCTTTAGTTTCCTCTAGTTTCCTCATTTGTAAAAGGAGCTGGAGAGGGAAATGGCAAACCACTCCTGTGTCTTTGCCAAAAAAAAAAACCCAAATGGAATCACTAAGACTAAATAATAGCAACAAAAATAACACCTATGTTCCACAGTTGTTGTGAGGATCAAATGAGATATTTATGAAGTGATTAGCACCATACCTGGCACATAGTAAATGCTTATTTCTTTCCTTTCTTCCTTTCTATAAAATCATTCAAGGAATAAATAAGAATCAGGTATGATATAGCTTTTATTCCTTTTTTTTAATTTGATATAGCTTTTATTTCACCTCACATAAAATGAAAAAGTCACAGGAGCCCAAGAATTGATACAGAAACACTTAGTGCCCTCAAGTAACCCATTAGCTCCTACCCACCCACCCCCAAATAAATTTGATGTTACTAAAGGAACAAGAGCCAGAAATTCCATTAAAATCCTCTCCAAGATGTTCCTACAAAACTTCTAGTGCCACTCTATCATGATTGGCTTAGATTCTTCCTCCCTCCCAAGTTAAAAGTATTTGGGGGTTCCTGAACAAACTACCCTCCCTTAGGCCCACACTGTCCAAGTACTTCAATGGCTTTCCCTCTAAGATAATTCAAAGGAACTTTATGGACTATCCATTTCTGCTGCCCTCCAGAAGGCAGAAGGAAAAAAAAAAAGCAAAGAGGAAGTCCTCAAGAGAGCGAAAGAGACAAGGACTGAACTGAGCAACTCACTTTTACAGATCACAGGGAGTGAGAGCTGATTCTCACTCAGTCAAACAGCAGAAGGTAGCCCTAGCCTTCTGCTGTTCAGTCATTTTTCAGTCATGTCCAGCTCTTGTGACCCCACTTGGGGTTTTCTTGGCTGAGATACTGGGGTGGTTTGCCATCCTTCTCCAGCTCAGAGAATTTGCCTCCCTGAGGCAAACAGGGTTAAGTGACTTGCCCAGGGTCACACAGCTAGTAATTGTTTGAAGCCAGATTTGAACTCACAAAGATCAGTCTTCTTCCTGACTTCAGAACTGGCACTCTATCCAGCCCCAGTCTACAAAACTCAATCATCAAAATGGCACCAGTGGACAGGCTCACACTCCATGTATTCCATATATTCCACATCCCTTTGATTGCCTCATAGCAATGGCCCACCCCCTGTAATCTCAAAAGGTAGATTGGGGAATTCTTCAAATTATTCAGACTCCCCTGGTTATCTCTTACATTTAAATAGGTGGTGCAGTGGATTGAGTGCTGGACCTGGAGTCAAGAAGGCCTGAATTCAAATCCAATCTCAGACACTGTGCCACCCTGGGCAAGTAACCTAACCTGTGTCTGACTCAGTTTTCTCAGCTGTAAAATGGGGTTAATGATACCTACCTATCAGCCTGTTAAAAGATAAGATAATTTTTATAAAGTATTTTGTAAACCTTAACACATTATATAAATGCAAGCTAGCTAAAACATAGTAATAGTCAATGAATTTGCTTTAAAGAGGTTCACATTAGGCAATGTTCTATCTTCAGCTATAATAATAATTGCATAATTATCCATTATGTAATTCATAGAAAACCTAGGGCCTGCCTATATGATACATGGGAAAACATTATACATGCCCAACTAGCCAGCAAGTGATGTTCAAAAATTTGTGTAGAACTCAGAAAATGTTTCCATAGCAACAATATTATACAGTGAGGTGGTACAAGGGATAGAGCTCTGGGCCTGGAATCAAGAAGACCTGAATTCAAATTTAGCCTCAGACACGCACTAGCTGTGTGACCTTGATCAAGTCACTTGATATCTGTTTACTTCAATTTCCTTAACTGTAAAATAGGACCTGCATTGGTAGAAGGAGTTTGCTCACCCAGGAGTTCCTGAGATCAGTGAAATCTCTAACCCAGTCCCTATTCCTATTATCATTTTTCCTGCCTAAGATATAGACAATTTATTTTTAATCTGCAATTCAATCAATGCTCATCATGTTCAGTTCCTTCTTATTCTTTTCTTAGAAAAAGCATT